GTGTGTGTGTGTGTTCTCACTCTGACTCGGTGTGTGTGTCGGTGCTGGCCGTCAGACTGGAGCTGCTGGTCAGACTCTCCACCTGAGAAGCGATGGCGCTGATGTTGGTGTCGGCCACCACCTAAAGACAGCAGACGGGTTTCAGGTCCGATCAGAACCGGTTCTGATCGGACCTGAAACCCGTCCTGAGAAGGGTTCTGACCGGGTCAGGGCCAGACAGAACCTCCCCAACAAGACAAAACAGGAAGCTTTAAATAGACCAGGAGTCATGAACCAAGGCCATGTCTGGACCTGGAACCGTCTTCAGTAAACGCTCCAGTTGGACCGGAGCCACTGTAAAGGTTCTGGTTCTAAAGGTTGACCGATCCGGACACAGGCCCGGTTCTAGCTGCTCTTCACAGCCTCTAACTTCTCGGTGAAAATGACATGAGCGCTGGACCAGAACCTGGGTTGTACTCTCTTTTCACCATGACCAGAGGTGGTACCGGTTCTGATCCGAGGAGAACCTCAGGTCGGAACCGGAGAGGCTCACCTGCAGGCTGATGTTCCCGTAGCTGTTCTTCAGCATGGCGACCACCTCGCTGTGGGTCAGTCCGTCCACCGGCTGTCCCCCGACGCTGACGATACGGTCCCCCACCTGCACAGACACAGAACCTCAGGCCAACAGAACCGACCCGCCTGCATCCACCAGAACATCAGGCCAGGTTTTCAGAACAGAATCAGACTGAAGTCCAGAACCCGGGCCAGCCAGTACCAGAGCCGTCAGGAAGATGGACCACCAGGAAGAACCTCTGAGGCTCTGTGTTGTGGACTGGGAGGTTTCATCACGGTTCTGGACGGAGAGTACCACCAGAACTCTAAGAGACGCACCAGATGGGGACCTGGTACTGGTCCCCATCCCAGGCGGACCAGTACCAGCGGTACCATTTGGATTCTTTCTGCATTTCTTTGCAAATACTTAGAGACAGACTTGCTAGCTAGCAGAGCTGTGGAAGCTGCCAAACCTCGTTTCCTTAAACCGCCACAAACCAAACTCGCCTTTAACATTGAAATCTCTGATTTGTCCCTGTGACAGAAATGTTGCTGTGCCTTCACCCAGGTGAAAACATCCTGACATTTTTCAGAAACAGAATTTCTGACCTTAGATTGCTTCCTCTTTCCAGCGTGGAGCCGGTGTCTCCTCCAGTTTGCAATGCGACCTTTGGAGGTTTAGAGCCGGTGTCCCTTAACGAGTTGATAAAACTGTTAAAAAGTTAAAGTCTTCTTCGTGCCCTCTGGCCTCCGTTCCCAGCAGGGTGCTCATAGATGTCTCTGACTGGTTCATGTTCTGTTAAAATGCTTCTGATGTCTGGAGCTTTTCCAT